AATTAAATACCAATGGTTTTCTCAAATGACTGACAATTTTACAAAGGCTCATAATAATGAATAGTGCTGTGTAAAAGAATGAGGCTAAAGGTATATGGATAGTAGGACATAACTCCAAAAAGACTTTTTTGTTCTTGACTTTTTACTAAATTCCTGAAACTAACTTGCTTGGTTTTATTTGCCTTTTTTCTTCTAAAAAAGAGCAGGTGAAAATTTGTTAGTACATAGTTTTACATCACAGAAAGCAAACTTTGTCATTCAGACTGTTGATGACGGCTGGAGGAATTCTAAGATTTGGAGAGATAGGCTTGTAAAAAGCTGTATGGGAATGAGATCAAGGCCTGATGGATGACTGGGTTTTTCATGGTGACTGCCATAAAAAGAGATAGGAGGTATAATGAAATTGGGCCTGATGGTCACAGTGCAGAAAGTGGTTTTGGTGACCAAAAACAAGAATTGAAGAATATAAAGTGAAATTCTAGCCAAATTCTATGGTTCATTCAAATATAGGTCACTACTTATTTTGAGCTCATTGACAATCATGTCCCAATGTCTGAACTTCAGAGTTTAAGGACAGAAATAGCGGGCTATCATATTAACTTCTATTTTAGTAAAATCATACTTTATTTGAGGAGTTATCTGGCATAATAAGGCCAACAGAAAATTACTGTGATGTAGACATTTGTTCAAATTTATCCCAAAAATCTTTTTGAAGAATGGGATGGGAGAGGGAGTAGGAGATGGGACGGTTTACAGGTGGCAGGGTGGTTAAGCGGGGGGAAAACCACTATAATCCAAAGGTTACACTTTCAAAATCTGTATTTATTAAAAAGTTTAAAAAAATTTATCCCCAAGTTACACTTATGTAGTGGGTTCTCTAGACTTTCTATGTTTTATCTTGATATTCTTAATGTTTTATACTTAACCTTGAACATAATCAATGTGTGATGCTAGTATTAGCTTTTGCTGCACAAAATACTACCCCCAAAATTACTGGCTTAAAATGGGCATTGATTCAGTTCAGGACTTAGTGGCAATTAAGGCAAGGTTCAGCTGAATGATTTTTCTACCCTTCTTGAGATCACTTACCTGTCTACATTCAACTGCAGATGAGCTCTACTTCACAGGGTTGACTTGCTGTTAACTGGTGCAATTGAGGGGCAGGGGTGGGATTGGATATCAGAATGGCCATGTGTCTCTCATTTCCCAGCAGCCTGGCCCAAGTTTCTTCATATGACAGCTCAGGTTTCCTTGAATGAGAAACTTGCAAAGTTGCTTGAGGTCCAGTCTTGGAATTCACACTATATTTCTGTTGGAAGGCAGATCACAAGACCTTTCCAGATTTGAGGAAATGAAAAATAGGCTCCAGCTCAGTGGGAAAAAGCACACACACACACACACACACAGAATTTTTGTTCCAACCTTTCATACACTTCACTAGCCACAATTATTCCCATTTTTCCTAGGACCTAGGGTATATACCTTAGGTGGAAACTGGAATAGAAAGCAAAGCTGAAACTCGACCCCAGGCACTCTGATGTGGAAGAGGGCATCCCAGTGGCATCTTTATATATATATATATGATTTATTTATTTGAGAGGCACAGTTACAGAAAGGCAGAGGCAGAGAGAGAGAGAGAGAGAGTCCATCTGATGCTCTACTCCTCAAACAGCCACAATGGCTGGGCCTGAGCTGGTCCGAAGCAAAGTGCTAGGAGCCTCCTCCAGGGCTCCCACGTGAGTGCATGGGCCCAAGGACCCAGGTTATCTTCCGCTACTTTCCTAGGAACGTCAGCAAGGAGCTGGATCTGAAGCAGAGCAGCCGGAACTAGAACCAGTGCCCACATGGGATGCTGGTACTGCAGGCAGCGTATTTACCTGTTAAGCCACAGTGTCACACCCCCAACCCCCAGACCCCAGTGGCATCTTAACTGCTGAGCCAAATGCCCACTCCTCCTGCATATTCTTAGTCTGCAGGAACTCAACTTCCAGGTAAAAGTGCAGCAGGTAATTGTGTAGCTGGGAAGGAAGGTAAATACTCTCCGTTTCACCAGAAGTGTTCATGATGGCCCATTTTTGTGTGTTAGTTGTTGGCAGTGAGCCTTCCTACTTGAACCACAGTTAACTAGCAAACTGTTAGATAAAACACAATCTTGTTTTGTTGCATTTTGGGATATTAAAAACAAAGAAGCCTTCCTTGAAAGAAATGTGTTAAGCTTATTACTGTCTCCTGCCAGGTAGTCCCAAGGTTCACCTTATCATTTTTCAGTGCCATCTAACCAACCTTCTGACCAATCTAAAATACTTTTCCTCTAATCATTCCCTATCTCTTCATCCTGCTTTATTTTTCTTCCTGCCCCTTTAAACATTGATCTGGTATAGTTTTATTCCTTTGTGTTTACAACCCCAATCACAAATCTAGAATGCAAGCTGTCTCCAGCATCTACACCAATGCTGCGCATGAAGTAGGTAACCTATTTGTTGACTGAATGATGACCACTCAGCTTCTGAATTTCCTATCTATTTTTCCATTAGACAAGGCCCATGGAGTATAACAGAACTTGTCCCCTTTCCGAATAAATATTTTGTGAGAAGCTTTGTGTTCTCTTGTACACTCAGAGCTCTCTCATTTAAACAGTGGCATTAGACAATGTCAGAAAACATGGTGTGTCACACATACAAGTGTACTTCAAGAAGTGGAAGTGGAAAACAGTTAAAATTATTTATACTGGTGGAAAAAAATTTTTAACTCTATGTATGTAGGGCCTTCAAAAAGTTCATGAAAAAATGCTGGTGCATTGATGTCAAAGTTTCAAGTTTTTTTCATAAACTTTTCCCAGTATGGCTGCATATGTCATAATTAACTTTTAAACTCTTTTAAAAACAATTAAGTGTCTATGAAAGAAAAAGATATTACACTTTGGTCCTTTTCTCCTTCAGAATGCTTTGAGGAAAGAGTCCTTTGAAACAAAAAAATATGTTAGAGTTTATAAAGATGAATAAAGGTGAAAATTTTGTCATATTCTAATCAATTAAAACAAGGTCAGCAAATTATAGCCAGAGTCAAATCTGGCTGTGCCCACTTATTTTAAAATGCTTTTTATTTATATATGGTGGACAAATTTCATGTATTTAATATACACAAATTTAGGAGCATAGTGATACTTCTCATGCTACCCTCCCTCCTGCCCACACTCTTACCCACCCTCCATGCCCACTTGTTTATAAGTACAAAAGGTAATTCAAAAATTTCACAGAAAATTGGAATTAAAAGATGTTTCTTTCAGTGAAAAAAAAAAAAAAA